CTTGCTTAGCCATCTTTGCTAAAACCGGGAACATTCTTTCTTTTCCCTTCCACCAGTTTAGAACGTCAAAGTCATCTTCTTCAAAATCAACATCATATGTTAAATACAAAGAAATCTCATTAATTGTGCTTTGTTGAGTAGCGGGTGTTGTTTTAGTTTTTTAATAAGATTGACAAATGTAGATTTCAAAATTGATTTTCCTTTAGATGAAGAGGTTTGTGTCGGGGGAGGGAGCGCGTTGCCATATTGTGCATGAAACTCATTAAATAATGCATAAAATATATCACTAACCTCGTTGTATTCTTTTTTCGGATCAATTGGGTTGTCGTCATACATTGCATTGGACCAAAAAAGCAGCATAATAATAATTCAAACATTCTTCTAAAGAACCAAGGCTAAAACGACGATCGAGAACAAATGCAATACCATAAATATGCGGAATATGTAAATAATATTTTAAAAACTTTTCCTTCATAAAACTAGCAAAATAACTCACATAATCGGCATTCTCAAAATTTGAAAAAGCACCGGCGAGATTAACAGCTTCACGAATAAATTGGTTTGAGGTAGGTTTATAAACATGACTAAAAGTTTCAGTTGCATTATTAAAATATACCAAAGCATTACAAATTTTTTCACAGGTGTCGATCTCATCCGAGTTTATAATATAGTTATCATATTGTTTCATAAAAGCAGGAAAATGTTGTTTAAATCTAAGAAGAACTGGAATTAACTTATAAGTACTATTCCAACGAATAGACAAATCTTAAGGAAAAGCCACATATTTTTCACCTCTTTCAATCAAATAATCATGTCATTTTTTCCTAAGTTGACCATTACCCCAAATACGTTTAATCCCCCCTTGACTACCTCCAAAGATGCTCCTAACGCTTTTAGACCATTTTGCACACATAAATTAATAACATGACATGCACATCGTTGATGAAAAAATCTACTCATCAAAGAAGTAGAATCACACAATTCACGCAATCTAAGAATAGCAGCAATATTATTAGTAACATTATCAAAACCAATAGCATACACCTTATCAATTAAATTATACTCAATTAAAATACGCTCAATCAAAATATAAATATGTTCAGCGGTGTGACGATCATTAAATTCACGAAAAGCAAGAACACGTTTATGCATATTCCTATCATTATAAATATAATGTACAGTCAAACCCAAATAATGTAAATTATGATAATTATCCTCCAATATGTCAGAACATACAGTAACACATCCATCAAAGTTTACAAAATAATTTTGTAACCTTACCCTTTCCGCACCATAAAGCCTTGAAATTTCTTTCTTATCCGTTATAACCTCTATATTGAGGATTTAAACAAGTTTGTGCATAATCACGAAAATCAGGACTTTAGAAAATAAATAAGACAAATTTTCTTTAACAAGTAAATTAACCATACCTGTCAAATTTTGTGCATCATTGTATGAGAAATTACCAAAAGATTGTTGGTTATTTGCAAATCTCGATATTTGAGTTTGCTTCCCCATTCCACTGCCTAATTTTGCATACTTCACCGGGTGTTTGGCCTTAAGATGCCTTGTGGCAGATCCGGATCCGCCGGAAATCTCCAAGCTATAATTTTTCTTGCACCACTTGCAAGTTGCGTTCCAATTCCCGATGTTCGGGTCATTCCACTTATCAAAATTATTTTGCATTAGTTCAGATCTACTTTTTTCGTACCTGTTTGGGATGAGGCAGGCTCGTCGGCGTCGTGGCTGCCGCCACCCTCCTCCGTGTCACCGTCGTGGCTCTCCGAAATTACTTCCTCCACATCGTCGTCCTCGAACTCTTCTTCGTCAATGGTCCTCGGCTGGTCTTGGAAACCCCGACTATTATCAGTATTATGTCGGTGCAATTCTTGTTCAAGTTGTTCGTCGGTCATGGCATCCCCATCCCTCCTTGCATAACATATATCAAAATCATCTCGGCTTTGAGATGAAAAGCCAATATGTGATTTACCTTTGCGGGATTTCTTCCTTGCAGGCTCGTTCGTTCGGTTGCACTCGAGGTTACCCATATCAACCGAATATCTACCACCTTTCATCTTAAAAATGTAACAAATATTAATTTATAAAACAAGTTCGAACTAATGAAATAAAATTCTAACAATTCTAACTAAGTAGATATAAATTGTAATATGTATGTATTTAGTAGATATAAGTAGATAATAAGTAGAGATTAAGTAGATAACAAATGTAAGTAATATAATATGTGTATTTATAAATAGATAATTAATATATAACTATATAAGTAGATAAGAAATATAAGTAATATAAATTATAATATATGTATTTCTAAGTAGATAAAATAATATAAGTAGATATATAATATATTGGAGTATAAGAGAAATTGAGAAGATGAAGATAATTAGAGAGTAGAGACTAGAGAGTAGGATTTTGGAGAAAAGATGGAAAAATATTTAAGATTAGGAATATTTATAGTTTTTTTTTACCCCACCCCCACCACCCAAACCGCTCGAACCCCTCTCCAGCCAACCCCCAACGGCTAGTTGTGGCCCAAACACAATTTTTTTTTTGAGCAAATGACCGTTGGACCCAACCCGGACCCAAGCAAGTGGCCCGACCCGAACCGGAACCGCCTTTACCCTAGGCCGGTTATTTTTCTGACATCGAAATTGATTCGAATATATGTATTAGTATATTCATTAAATTAGAGTACAAGCATACGTACTGACCAATAACAATATCTGTAATAGAAGTTATATACTTTCGTCTAATGCAACCTAAAAGGCTGAACTTCATCACTATGAGCATATATAGAAGTTAAATTGAACAGGAGTGCATTTTGAGTATAACATTGTTTTTTAGTTTTTATTCACGCCCATTTATATATCAAAGTTCAATTGAATAGACGTGTATTTTGAGTACAACCACAATTGTGAACAGGCCCTGGTACAACCACAATTGTGAACAACCACAATAGACGTGTATTTTGAGTGCATTTTAAATAATAAATATAATATATTGGAGAATAAGAGAATTAGAGAGTAGAGAGTTAAGAATAGGATTTAGGAAGAATTGGACTCCAACAGGCTATTCAAACACAATTTTTGTAACTCTTCACCGACGACGTGAAGGAGACATAGAAATACGCACATACAACAATTTTTTCTTTGATTGTACATTTGTAGTTTTGTACATTCTTGTCACTTGGAATGTTTTCAATGATATTTTATGGGGTCTTTCAAGTATCCTAATTGCAAGTCTTTTTCTATAGGGCGGGGGATTTGCACCACACTAGCCAGCGCCCGCAGGGGTGGACCAGTTCCGGTTCAGGCCTGGCCGGGCCTCGGTTCATGAAGGGGAGGCCCGGAACCGGCCCAGGTAACCCCCGTGACCAGGCCGGGCCTCGGTTCTTTTTTTTTTTGGCTTTTCGTAGTTAACCCCCAACCCCCCCCCCCCCCCCCCTCACTAGGGATGGATTCGGGCCGGGTCGGGCCCGAGGGTTGGACGAGTCCGGTTCGGGCCGGGCCACCCGCCCGGGTCACGGTTCGGGCCGGCCTGGTTAATTTTTTTATATATAATTTATATTTTATAGTTTATAGTTTTATACGAGTATTAAAAACAAACTTCAATTGCATTTATTTGAAATGAAATAGGAACTACATTTGAAAATTAAAACAAACTTTAAGAGATAAACATTTTGAAAATTGTAATCAATCGGAACTTCCTGCACCTCCCGATCCTTTGGCTTTGTCACATGACTTCGTATGCTTGATTGCCATCCCGAATCCGCCTGATGCCCCCATGATACATTTTTTTCGCACCATTTGCAAATTGTGTACCACATCCCGGTCTTCGGGTCCTTCTGCTTATCAAAATTATACCGTATAATGACATTTTGATTTTCCATCTTAACTTCTTGGAGAAGAGAATTAGAGAGTAGATATATAATATTTTGGAGAATAAGAGAATTAGAGAGTAGAGAGTTAAGAATAGGATTTAGGAAGAATTGGAGAAGAGATATGAAAAAATGATTAAGATTATGAGTATTTATAGGTTTTTTTTACCCCCCACCCCCCCTACCAACCAACCCCCCGGACACCCCCTTTACCCCACCCAACGGCTATATAGCCGTTTGGGTTGTCCCCAGCCCCACCCCCAACGGCTAGTAGCCCAAGATTTTAAAAACAATTTTTTTTTTAAAATAGGACCGGACCCGCCCCGCCCCTTCAAACCGGTTCGGGCCCATACCCGGTCCCGGACCGCCCAACCGGGCCGGTCCCGGGCCCGCACAGTACCGGGCCAGGCCGGGTCACGGGCCGGGTGGCCCGAACCGAATCCATCCCTACCCCTCACCCCCCAAACCAACCCTAACCACCTCAAATGGCCCAAAATACCCAGCCCAACCCAAAAACTTAAAAAAATCAAAAAAAAAATAAATTGGCCCGGCCCATGAACGAACTGGCCAGGCCGGTTCACCTTTTGAAGGGCCCGAGCCCGAACCACCATCAACCAGGCCGGGTGGCCCGAACCGGGCAACCAACAGGTTCACCGAGCGTCCAGGCCCACAGTAGCGGGCCAGTCCAGTTCCGGGCCAGTTGGCCTGGCACGAGTCCACATGGTCACAGTCCCCTAGTTAGGCATGGACCGATTCCGGTTCGGGCCCGGCCGGGCCTCGATTCAAGAAGGGGAGGCCCGGAACCGGCCAGGGTAACCCTCCACCTCACCCCCAAACCAACCCTAACCACCTCAAATGGCACAAAATACCCAGCCAACCCAAAATCTAGAAAATAAAAAAAAAACAAAAAAAAACAGGCCCAGCCCGGGCCCGGTTGACCTTTTGAAGGGCCCGAGCCCAAACCGCCATCCCACCGGGCCGTTTGGGCTGACCCAGGCCCAGAACCGGTTCACCGGGGCCAGGCCGGGCCCACACAGTAGCGGGCCAGTCTGGTTCCGGGCCGGTTGGCCCGGCCCGAGTCCACCCCTACCACTAGTATACACAGGAATACAGGATGCAATGGTTAGATAAGAACGTATTACCGTACAATACTTTAACGGTAATTAATTTCGAGTAATTAATTTCGAGTATCAAACATTTGCTTACAAAATCCACGTCAATATAACATTTTCGCGCAACATTTCAGGTAGTCTAAAAGTTCAATATTGCATGAATGTATGAATGACACAGTTCCATACTTTCATGTTCCAACTTCGCATATCACTACCCTAGTCTAAAAGTCTGCCGCCAACAAAAACTCTATACAAAAAAGTAGACCGGTAGATTCACAATCACATGGGTCGACCTTTCCCGGTCATGCGCCTTGCAAGTTGAAAATCTCTCTTCACTGAGCAATAAAGACAAGAAAAATGAGTGTCTTATGGTAATCATTTCATGTTGGTTTACAATATAACTACAATGGCTGAACTTGATATCAAACACTTTTCTATATCTACATTCAGATGGAAATGAAAATCTGGGTTTTCCTTATTATTAGAATTTCATAAGTTAGGTTATAAAAAATGCAATAAGCTCATAGAGTGAGAGTGATCTTACACAACGTGACACGTTTGGCGTGAATAGCACATAGCTGCGCTTCTCCCAAGAGTTCCACCAAATACAACTCAGCCGCCTGCAAAATCAAAGCCCAGCAAACAAATAAGAAGGGGGCACACACTTGATGAAGTATAGAAGGATTAGTGAGGGGTGAGAAAAGAGCCAAAGTAGCTTGGGTGCCATTTGCAAACCCAAAAATGAAGGGTGCACAAGGCTAGGAGAATCTAAAGACTGGAACGCAGCTTTACTTTCCATTACATTATGGAATATACATGCCAAAAAGGACTCCCTATGGATCAAACAGTTCCATGGGGTCTACTTGAAAAATGTTACCATTTTCCCAATGGGAGGGCTTCTTCGCTGCTCAAACAACTGGACACATTCAAGGATTCACTTCTAGAACACTTTGGTAGCCAGAAGGCTTTGATAGCAAGGCTGTGATTTTAATGATTTCTTATGGCTTGCAGGTGTGACTAAAGCCTGTGTGAGTTTTATCTGGAAGAGTTACACCCCCACCCCTAGGTTCTCCTTTACTTTATGGCTGTGCATTAGGAATGACTCACGTACTGCAGGAAATTTTTGGTTTTGGATGGAGATCGATCCTTCAGCTTTGAAAAGTGCAATGAAATGTTTTAAGAAGTATTTCAGAGGAACAAGTCTAGGGAGTCGAACAGTGAGACTACCATTGAGCTGCACTGTCTATACTATCTGGAAAAAGAGACATTCTGAACTTTTTGGAGGTTATAGAGACAATGTTGATTGGTTTGTTTAAGTATTTGTGTTGTGGTTGAGCCGTGTACCTTACTGAGAGGCAGTAGAGTGCAGAATTTTTATTATACTCGGGGCATACCTCTGTGATCATGATAACTTCCTAGTGTGTGTGTAGGTGTATATATAGATTTATAGGTTATTACAAAAATGAAATAGAGAAAGAATTAAGTTTCACTTCATATCTGTTGAATGTAGTGGATCCAGTTGTTTGATGCACATAACAGGTAATCACAAATAATAACAAAAACACCTGTACATAGTACTGTCATACCTCCTGCAGTGCATTAAGAGCATCTGCTTGCCAGCGTTTCATATCCGGTGAAAAGAAGATGCTTAACTTCCTAGTCTGCCATAATTAAGAAGAAATCGAACTTCATTTTAAGGAAATGAAAAATACCATAGTGAGAAAAACAGTCACAAATCAGTACAAAAGTCATAGAGCATCATTGCCTTTTGTTGATTGATAGTGTCATGCAAATACTCAAGAACTCCGAATTTAGCATTCTCAAAGTGTTGTAAATCTTGCTATTGCATCACATGTGCACAGATGCAGTTTTTTAATAGGCTAAAATACTAAAATACAAAATAAATAATTCATTTGACGTGGTTTCACAGCATTCGAGCTTTCAAATTAAATATATACGACTGCACGCAACCAGCTCAGGTTCTAATTGAGAAACACAATAGAATCACATTAACAGTACAGTATGCCATAGTTTCATATGATGTTTTGGTCTAACTTAGATTTGAAGTAAATGAATGATTGTGGATGTGAGCCATTTATTAAGATAAACGGCCCACATAATTTCACCCAAAATTTGATTTGATCCATGAGAACAAGTCATGAATTAATTTACAAAACACATCAAGATAATGCATGAGCCATTAACTATTTAATTAACAAATTAATGTCCACTGAGAAGTATATCTATGTCTGATGTCCTTACATTTTCAAGTCTTGGTTCATATCTAGAGGAGTTATCCAATGACCCATTCTGGTAGATTGTCTTTAACTCCTAAAGGTAAGCACATCAAGATAAAATGAACTCTCCCCATCCCACCCGCCCAAAATTTAAGATGGGGATCTTGAAGATGTAAAGGGACATCACTCTAATCTATCACTTTATCTAACAAAAAGACAGCAAATTCAATAAAGCTTGGACTCCCACTCATGTTCTTCTCAGGAGAAAGTCAATACATGTTTTGGCATGCTACGTCACTTTGAGATTTCCCTAGTTATCCATTTTGGAAATCATCTTATTCACCAAGTTACAGAGTATACTAATCAAACGATATACTTTATGAGTAAAGCTTAGGGAAAGGGCAGAACATATAGAACGTACAAGCCTGACAAAAGGGGCTGCAGGAATAAGAAGATTGCATGATTTCTGGGCCTTCCGGATCTCCCGGAGAGCAACAGTTCCGGGCTTAAAGCGACGAGGCTTCCGTGCTGAAGCTTCACTAGGAGCGGAACCAGATTTGGAATCTAGTAAACGAAACACACCAAACGGTCAAATATTTAATTTCACCGCCCGAAAAGAAAATACGAAACTGGTGATAAAATTTAAGCTACTCCAAAAATAAATAAGGAAATGCTACAAAACACAATTTCTATATGGCCTTACTTTTCATCGGCTTACCCTTCGTCGGCGGCACCTATATCCACGAAAAGAAAACACAACATTACAATGCAGATCTAAGCATGGAAAAGACACAAATATACACCATAAGAAAATCATATCAGGCGTACTCGCTTCGTGGAAGGGGATGCTCCGGAACCTGGAAACGAAGAAGATAGTAAATTAGGGTCCCGAAGAACAACGAATTTCTTTTCTGAAGCAATAAAAAACATGAAGTTTTATCTACAGAAAAACAAGTTGACTGAAGTCGACCTTGTTTCTTGGTAGCTATTTGCTTGAGTCTTGCCATGATATTCCGAGCACTGAAGATGAGGATGGTTGTTTTTTCTCTCTAGGGTCTTTTTGAATCTGTAGATGAAGGCAGTGAGCTTATTTCCTCTCATGTCAAATGAAGATACAGAATACATGTGAAAACCGACACATGTAATATTTTGTGTGTGGAAGTGGGTGGGTGGTGAGGGGTTTGGTTGAAATAGAAAAAAACGTTCAAGTTTAACAAAAAAAATTGAGAATACTGCGAGTATGATTAATGTGGTACAAAACTTTATTTTATAAAATTAACAAATTTTAATTATACCTGAGGAAAATAACATGAAAGATGACTATTAAACGGAGTACAGTTTTAAGTTAGTTGTTCAACAAAGAGAAAAAAATGAAGAGAATGACTGACCAAACATTCGAATCTACAGATCTGCGGTTTTTAATCGATTGGTTTTGGACTATATATATTTTTGGCGTTAAAGATTAGAAAATCTGTGTGTTTCAGTCAAAAATAGTTGACCCGAAATGAAAACAGAAAAATGGGCAGTTCAAGGGTCTCGCAGATCTGAAGTCTTTCCATGTTTATTCAGTAAAAAAATCGTTTCGTGTTGTTTTGAGGTGAAGAACGTTTGTAGAACAATCGTGTCATGTGCGTGCATGTGAGCTATCGTGAAAGAATTTCGGGTGGTTGTGGTTTTGTTTCAGTGATCTTACCTGTGACGGCAGCCGTTGAGCTTGGAAGGTGTTCGCCGTTGTGGGTGGTTGCTTGATGGAGTGCCGCTGCCTGAGAGGCCGTTACTCTGCTGCGTTCTGTGATTAGAGGGAGATGGGGGAGATCAGAGATGAGTGTGTCGGCGTTATTTTAGGGTGTTGTGCGATGGAATAAGGCTTGGGTAATTGGGTTGGGTACCTTTCGTCTGGGCCGGCCCATCTAATTTCAAGGTGCGGCTGAATATGTGCGCTCATCTTAGATGGCCTTAAAAAATTGCCCATTGTTTGTGATCTACTACTAGTATATTTTTAGGGAATTTTTCATAAGTAGACTAAAAAGCAAAGTTGTTAACTTTGTTTGGTTTACACCAAATGTGTACACCTTTTGTAACAACTCTATAGAGTTGTCTGTGGACAGACAATTTGTCTGTTGGGGACAGACATGAGTACACAGAAGGTGCACACATTTGATGTGCACCAAACATTTTTCAAAATAATATCACTTTTTTCACTTTTGAAAACTCTATTAAAAAATAGACAAACTGGTTTTTTCTTTCAAATACAGACTATATACGTTACTAACCCACTGGATGGTTACTGGAACCTATGTTCCAAAGAACGGCGCGGTGCGTGTGCTGTAGTTATCTCTCTACACTACGGAGTATTTGTTAAATGTATACAACCTTCAAGAACTGCTCTACTCACATTTTAAATAGAAAAAATGTAAATATTTATTAAATTGTAAAAGATGAAGCTAACTATTCCCTTCATAATTAAAAGTTTGTCGCACTTTCTTATTTATGATGTATTTAAAAGTTTGTTACACTTTCTTTTTTGGTAAGTTTTTCTTTTAAAATTACTCAATTACCCTTAATTTTTTTTTTATCTTCTATTTTCTACTTTTCACATTCTCTCGTACTTTTTCTACACTATTCATTACCCCTGTTATTTCCCCCTTAAATATTGTTCCAAGACCCAATGAAGTGATCATTTAAATGCAAAGGGGGTAAAAACAATACTAAGTGTAAAATAATATAAAATTGGCTAAAGGGTCAAATAGGCCCTTGTACCTTTCCGGATTGTTCAGTTTGCCCCCCGAACTCAAAAAAGCTCCGATTGGCACCCTGAACTCCATAAAAAGATTCAAATTTTAATTTTTGCAGGTCACAAGCCGGTCACCGCCACATCACCCGGTAGGGTGCCAACTGTGCATGTGACGTGGCAACTTAGGGGGTCAAATAAGCCTCTGAATCCGACCGAAACGTTCAATTTACCCCCTCAACCCTTAAAAACGACAAAATTATGAAAAATAAAAATAAAAAATGAAAATTAGAAAATAAAAAAGAAAAAAGTCAAAAATATAAAATATAATTTTTCTTTATATTTTTTTGGCAAATGCATAAAGAAATAAAATATAAACTAAAAGAAATTAATTCTTATATATAATACGTAAAAAAGACTTCAATATATTTATAATAAATAGTATAAATATTTAGTTACTATTTTTAGATTTTAATACTTATATATGAGTAATTTTTATGTTACTACAAATATAGAAAAGTGTAATCTTTGAAAAATAATAGTTACATAAAAATTTTATATTTATTTTTAGTATTTTTTTAAATAAATTAAAAAATATGAAATGAAAAAATACAAATGGATAATTTAAAAATAATGCTTCGTATAAATTATCAAACCAAAACCCTAAAATTTGTGTTATATTACAAACCATTAGATATAATACATAAAATAAAAATTTAAATATAGTTCGTAAAAAATTAAATAAAGTTATAAAATGTGGAAATAAAGTTAGAATATTTTTTAGTTTATATTTTGTTTTTTATTTTGAATTTATTGTGAATGATAAATATTTCATATTAATATATTTTATATTTTAGACATGTATTTTATTTATAATTTTATTTATTATTTATTATTTATTTGTTATTATTTTTATTTTATTTTATTTTCAAAATTTGGACATTTTTTAGGGTTGAGGGGGTAAATTGAACGATTCGATTTGGACTTTATTTCCACGTCACATGCACAGTTGGCACCCTACCAGGTGACGTGGCGGTCACCGGATTGAACCTGCAAAATGTGAAATTTGAATATTTTTATCGAGGTCAGGGTGCCAATTGGAGTTTTTTTGGGTTGACGGGGCAAATTGAGCAATCCGAAAGGGTACAAGGACCTATTTGACCATTTAGCCTATAAAATTTAAAAATAATAGGAAAAATTGAAAATTATAATCTCAACTATTGCGGTCCGCTAACAATAATCTCAACTATTGATTATTTTTGTATAATCCCAACTATATGGACCGTCCGCCAATAATGGCCCATGACCGCATATTACCTGCTCTAACAAGTGATTTTTAATAGAAATTAAGCGTAGAAATTAAAATTTGGGATTATTTATAGGGATTACCTGCTATATCTCTTTAGAAACTATAGAAATTTATTTATCTTCCGTCACGCCGGACCATTATTAGTGGATGGTCGCTAAAGTTGGGATTATTCTGAAATAATCGATAGTTGAGATTATTATGAGCGGACCGCCAATAGATGGGATTATTACAATCAATTTTTACAAAATAATAAGATAATTTGGGAATAAGGGAAATTTTAAATAATGCATAATAAGAAATCAAAGCTGAAAATTGTAAAATGAATTTAAAAAACGGAATTTCATCAGAAAAATGTTATGAAACATATAAAAAAATGGAAATACAAAAATCAAAATTAAAAATGAGAAAGGTTTGAAATAGTTTATAAAGAGGAAAAATAGTAGCAAAAAAATGTGATGTTAATTTTTAGAAGACTTCATATACCCCTTAATTTGTATGAAAATACGTATAAAATAATCAAAAACACAAATAATTGAATTTTTTATAATTTAATAAAACACAATAATTAAAATATATAAATAAAAAAGAAAAAGAAAGAAAACTAAAAACTTTCTCAGAAAAATATGAAAAAATAAAAATAAAATGATATAATATATAAAATCTTGAAAAAAAATATGAAACATTAAAGCAGTGAACAAGCAAAAATATCTAAAAATTTGAAAAAAAATAAAATTAATATTTAATATCTTTCTAAGATGATTAAACTTCTAAGTAGTGTTGTTATGATTGCATTATTAGTGTTTGTTGCATATTGTTTCTTATTGTTGATAACTCTAAAACTTTTGTTTTTTATTGTTTCCGTCTGGTTCTTATTGTTGTTGATATTCATAAATCTAAATTTACCATTTGAGGTGTTTGATTATAAATTCATATATGATTTTTATTTCAAGGAAGTACCAAAAAAACAGATACAAACCTAAATAAACAACAAAAAATAAAATCAAGAATAAACAACATTAAGCAACATAATGCAATAAAAAGAAACATGGTGCAACAAAATTAAACATGGTGCAACAAAAAGAAACATGATGCAACAATAAGAAACACGTGCAATGCAACCAAAAGAAACAAAAAGCAACATAAACATAATCATGATTTATATACAATAAAATCTATTAGTTTAGTATATTACATTTATCTAGTATATCATTTGACTTTGGTTCATCCCATTCTTCTACTTCTTGCATTTATGCTTCATGTTAACATACAACTCATCATATTTGTCTCTCTTATCTTCATTTTCCTCGTCAAACTTCTTTGATTTACCATCTTCATGTACATCTTTTTGTATTATGCGTCTCGAATGAGAATGTGATCACACACATTCATAACCGTGCTTGAAGTCTGCCAAAACCCATCCATCACCGCTCTGGAGCTTCATGCATTGTTTTAATGGTTTCAACACATCCAAAGCTACTCTCAGTCTAAAAGTCTTCAGTCTCGCCTTGAAATTGTTCATTTCACTGCATCTTTTTAATTGATGAAATTTTATAAACATTGTAAGAGATGAAAAATTATACACATAAAACTTCTCTAGAGAACAAATAAATACCCTAGGATCCTTCACATGGAAATCACATGAGTGGCTCCAACCACACCAAGAGCACGACTATATTTAACAATTATGTCAATATCAAACATCAATATAGAAAGATCATTACAATCATTTTAATAATACAAATATCATCAAAATGAAGCAACTCATGTTGTGTTTACCTTCTCATTTGGAAGAGCAGCACATCTTGTAATACTTAGCCACTGCAAAGTCACATTCTATCAAATTCTTAAAGAGGGGATAAAAATAAGATAGAATAAGTAAGAAAAACTTTAGATGCAAAATTCTAATAAATTTCTTTCAATGCAATAATATAGGGACACATAATTTCTGAGTTAAGTTTGACTACAATGCAAAACCTAGTGAGACAGCTCTCCAAATATTAAAGCCCCAACAATATGTTGTAAGCGTATCCTAGGTTTATATTACCGCCTATAGGACTTGAAAGGCGATAAAAATACTTTTATTATTTCATGAGGCATGCACATGGAATCTTAAAAGCCATAGTACAAACTAGACAATTACTAAGAGTGCCAAACCTAATTTTATAATCATTGAATGGTGATTTTCAAAAGTTCAACAACTAAGGGCTCGTTCATTATCCCTCTCAGTTTTAATTTTTAATATTATGATTTAAAAGGGTATATGATGTATATGCCTATAACTAACTCAAAAGTACTTGTACGTATAGTACTATGTTAATTTTGAAAACTGAAAGCAGCTTCTTCTGTTTTTCATAGATTCGTTTGTGTAAAAAACAGAAAATGGTACCCAATGAGGCCTAAGAAAAGGATAAATGTTGGTGGAACCCAAACCTTTTATTTGCTACGGAGTATATTAGTATTGATAAAGTCAGTTATTCTAGACTTTAGAGGCACAGACAGGAGCAACAGGCACGCTTACCTCGTGAGGGTAACTGGGTAAGTCATTATAGAGGCAACTATTTTGGCCAATGAAGAGGCAACTACATTTTCTCCAGGTCCTAGATCACTGTACACTTCTCATCTGGAATGTTAGGTATTGGCCCATTTCTTTCATAAGCCCAACCTACATCTAATGGTTACCCGGTCCATTAGTCTTTTTTACATCATCCTTGTTCGCCTCCCTTCTCGTCTCCTCTACGCCATTCATGACTTTCCTTGTTCAAGTTTTCCTTGTATGGCATCTTACCTTCTCTGTATTGAGCTGCCTATTTATCTCCCTGTTTCGGATGCTAAGGGGAACGGCGGAAAACCCTATTCTCGCACAACCCCTTTGTGAAGTAGATTTAGCA